TACGAGAAATGACGTTACATTGCCCGGTGTTTCCGCCGACGGCCGGGGTGTGACACAAACACTCTTGGTTAGTCAATATACTAAACTCATACTCTTGAGTTCTTTATCTGCATATATCTACAACCACATACATTACATCTCATTGCATGGGTTATCACAAAACCACCATATAATCTCCAGCTCTTCTTCATATCTCATAGTTTAAGTCTAGTTTTGGACATACCAAACCTAATTCACTTATACTATGGGTCTAATACTAACTGTAGCGACCATGATTTTCTACATTATTTATGTAGAGAATTATTAGACTTTTTCTTACAAATGCAAAATTCTATAAAAATTAAAACACTTTACATCCCAGGGTTCATCATGGGTTTACAATAAAATCTATCGATTAAAATTGATGAACAAGGAAAATACAACTTTATATAATTATTCTTTTATACCAAGTCCTTGTGCTCCAATTTTATTACATACCATGGCTACTTCCTGAAGCTGAAAAATAAAGAAAACATCTACTACATCATACCATATGTCCGGTGAGTTATATTCTATTTTGTTTTCATGCTAATATACTATACTTCTAATTTCTCCATCTTTACATACTTTATCTTTTGTCTTTACTTCTTTCTCATACTCTACAATCTAATCTCTTCTTCTCATAGCATAAACTGCTATTCTTTCATATTCGTATATCTCTTTTATCTTTTCTTCATCTTTACCTTCTACTCTTGCTCTATCTCATCTCATATATCCCATACTCTATCTTGTAATCTTCTTATTTACTCCTTTCTTCACATCTCATATTGTTTCTTAACCTCTTCTCAAGCTCATCTCATGATCTATACAAACTCTTTCTACTCTTTCTTTATCCTTTTCATATTCTTCTTTCTACATCTATTTTCTTGTTCCTTACTCTTATTTCATCTCATAATATATATAAACTTCTCTTACTATATGCATTCTCTTCTCATATCCTTACTTTACTCTTCATACATCTCTTACTCTTACCATGCATGTCTCATACTCTACTTACTCTTCAACTCTTTGTTCTCATATATTCATGCCTCAATATCCTATTCTCAACTAGACTCGACAGTCCCATCTAATACTATGCTCTCATCTATATTCTATTACAAAAAAAATCCCTCTAACATTACTGGGTACACTCATCCTAAATTACTCCCCTCTCTTATGGTTTCTCGTCGATTCTTGATCATTCTTCTCTTGAATCCCTCACGGATTCGTTACTCTTAATCCTTCACGGATTACATCTAAGTTATTAAAAGAACTTACTTTTCTTTTTCCACTCATGGAATGTCACACCACGCTAAAGCGAAAATAAGAGGTGCAATAGTACAACAGGTCTCATAACAAAAGTTAAAAGACAACACCAACCATAGTATTAAAAAGCATATTATAACTTATAACGAGTTTGAACAACTTTTAAAAGAAATTATAGTGTATTTAAAAAAACAACACATGTGAATGCTCCTACACGTGATGTGTCCCTATATGCCATCTTACTAGATGATTCCTGAAAAAAAAGTATGTAAATGAGCGGCCGACTACCGAAATAGTCGGTGAGTTCACAAGTTTAGAGCGTAACATATTTTTAAATCATGGAAATCAGAATATTGATAAATGTTTCCATAAGTGAAAGTTCGTTGCTAAAATGATTAATAAAATTTCCAGTAACAGAAGTTTGTTGCTATAATAAGTAAAAAAGTTTGCATAAACAGTAGTTCGTTGGTAAAATGAGTAAAGAAGTTTTGATAACAAATTTCATTGCTATCATGAGAAATAAAGTTCGTTACCATCATAAGAAACATAGTTCGATACTAACAAGAGAAACAAATGTATATATATATATATATATATATATATATATATATATATGTATGTATAATAAACAAACAATGAGTTCTCAACACAACCTATGATTGCCTCCCTACCATGATCTATGCTTATCGTTCCATCGATAAACATGGTATTATGTACTTAAGCATTCGGGCGAGTGAGGAGTTATTAATTCCTAATAGCATTATACTTAATGACCATTGGCTCAAAGAGTTAATGGTTAAAGCAAAGTGTAAAGGACCTAGACGATAAGGCCTCATGTTTCACAAGCGCATACACATACATAGCAAAATATAGCAATCATGTTTGATACAAGTAAATTTAAATACAACAAACAATAATTAGTTTTCGGACATGCTTTTGCACGCCCAAAATGCAAAAACCGAAAATAGGGATTGTGAATACTCATAAGTTATTTCATGATGATGCTAAAGAGGCCTTGAACTAAGTTCCACTTGTACCAAAATGATTCCTACAATGATGTTACACACTAGTGAGCAATGCCAATATTTTGACTCTAGCACTAGTATACTTAACTTCAACAATAGAACAACGTCAATTGATACGTGTGGAATGTAATAGTTGTAATCCTAACTAACTTAAACACAAAAACAAACACACGAAGGGCAGTGTACCTATCGATTAGCAGTTTAGTGTAGGCAAGTAGGGTATCGAACTCAGGGAATGCTAAACAATTAAAATATTACTAATATTATCTAAATAAAACAATTATAAAAGGGGTTTTCCTCTAGTTTTGCAAGACTAGAAACTTAAGCAATAGCTTGAATACTTAGCAAAGAACAATTAACAACTAAAAGAGAAGTAAAAGACAACTAGATTAAATAAGATAAAAGAGACTTTCGTTTAGATTCGATTCACTCACTCCTATGGTTGATTTCGTGGAAAGTGCAATGGATTAATTTATCATTAGTTACCGATTTCTAATATCATTAGGTTCATGTTCACTATTATTAATCCTTTAGCAAACAAATCAATTCAAGCAGTGATCAAGTGATTAAATTAAAGATTTTACTAGTGTTCAATTCGAATCAAGTAAGACTTGTAATAATAGTTAATCAAATTGGTTGGTTCAATTAACTCATATATGGTTGGTCATCATACATGCTCACAAATTAACTTATTTATTTTCTAGTTAACCCTAGGTTATGCTCACAACACTAGAAATACAAACTTGTTTTCACAAAACCATAAGATTCAAGTAATGAAGAAGATGTTCATGCAACTCAATACACTTAGTCATTAACAGAAAATAAGTATCATTAAGACATAATGATCTTTTATCAAGCTTAACATGATAAATAACCAAATCAATACAATCCAAAGCCACTAATCAAACCATATTCATAAGATCATCTGGTCTAAACAAAAGTATGGAGTTTTAGCCCACAACTTTAGAAAATAAACACATAAACTCGAAATCTAATGCTGTAAACATTATTTACACAAATAATTAAGAGAAAAGTAGTGATTAATTTCTTTTGATCTCTTCACAAATATCCTCTAGTCGAATTTTGAGTTCCAAAGCTTCTTGAGAATGTCTCTGGCCTCCAAAAGTCGCTAAAAGTCTCCAACCAACGTTAGGGTTTCGAATGAAAATGGTCTATAAATAAATTCTGAAAACAACTTCAACACGTCGAGTTGGAGGGTCCAAAATCATCATGTTTTTTTTACTTAAATAACGTGTACGGCAAGACACTATTTTGTCAGAAATCTTCATAGAAATTCGTCGAGTTGTAGGATAAACTCGCCGAGTTCTTCTTCAATTTTGTCTTCTTTCTTCAAAATCCAAATTCCAAGCTTCCAATTGCTAAATCCGCTTCCTTTTACTTCCGATCATGTCTTTGTTTCTGAAAATGTAATTTTAAACTAATTAAGCACCTTTTGTTCATTATATGAGAAAAAAAAAACAACATAAGTATTAAGATAATGCATTAATTTTATAACTAAATATGCCCATATCAAAATACCCCACACTTGACTTTTGCTATAATGCATGAATTTTATAACTAAATAAGCCCATATCAAAATACCCCAGTTAAACCCAACCATTATGCCAAAACCACAATGCACACATTTGTGTCTAATTTTTCCTAAGGGCCCGCTAACCCTAAATACTCACAATCTTCATAAACACTCACCCACTTTTTCCAAACAACGCTCATTTTATGCATCCCTCTGAATCCATCCGCATAAAACATTCTTAACCTCAAGAAATATTTGGTTAAACCTGCAAGCACATACGGAAAAATAACCTAGAAAATAAAATTACAATAAAAATAAATAAATATAACTTTTGTTTTGAATCTTTTATACTTTGTAGCTCTTTTTCATGTCTTCATACTTGTAGATTCTTTCAACCATTTCAACACTTTTTTTCAACCACACTTTTTTTACTCAAAATAAAAACCTAGAAAAACATATGCTTACGCAAGGGGTTTTAACTTCATCCTTTATTGATTAAAGGCATTTGTCTCATGTGTAATGACTACTTAAGCTTTCCTGGATACATTTCAAATCATTACTAGAAAAACAGCCTTTTACGACGCACAATGTGTGTCGTAAAACGCTCAGACGACGCGCAAATGCGTGTCAAGAAAGGCCCTGTCATAACGAGAGACAACACACTTTTGCGCGTCGTCTATAGACGACACAAATTTACGACGTGCAGTTACGACACCCATTTACAACGCTCATTTACGACACGCAATCCGTATCAAGAAAGGCCCTGTCATAAACGAAGACGACACACATTTGCATGTCGTAACCTTACAACATGCGTTTAGGACATGCATTGCGTATCATTATAACCCCTGTCATAAATGAAGATGACACACATTTGCGTGTCATAAACTTCAGCAACCATTTACAATATGCATATACGATGTGCCTTTATGATACTCTTTTACGCATAATACAAAAATATAGAAAAAATATATATACCAAAACAATAAATTTCATCCAATAACATCATGTCAAAAAATTGTAATACATTGATATTAAAGGGATCTAACTGTACATTGTTATTAAGAGGGTTTCCCTAAATATATAACTAATACTACATTGCTATAAAGGGGCACCTTCTTGTTTCACATATCATGTCAAAAAAATCCTCCATATCATTAGTTTTTCATGACCTGGTGTACTGTACTGGGCTGCTGTCCACCGGAAAGAGCATCCCAGACTCCATCACTTGAAATTACAAGCCGCCTATCAGCAGAAGATGGCTGAAGATCATGAATAAATAAAAGTTGTTAATAAAAAGAGAAATAAATTGAGTTTACTTAAAAAACTAACCTTCACTTGTTTGACATGAGGAACTAGAATAATGAACTCCCCAACATCTCTATCTCCAATAGATCTTGAAATTCATAACCCACCTCGCTAACATTTTAAAGTACCAATCTATCATAAATATAAACCACCATACCATAATACACACATAGTTTTAAATCTCTTATTTATTTCATTCAAAATTAACATACCAATGATCCAATAGCCACTAATTCTTGGTATTTCGCATCAACTTCTGAAGTCTCCCCTTCTGCAATTTGTAGGAAAAAAACATTTTACAAATTTTCCCTTGTTAATATTCTAATTTAAGTATTAAAAAAAAGCTTATGTGTATGTTACCTCTAAAGCGGCTAAAAGAATATGAGATTGACCTTCTTCATCCTTCTTTTCAATCAATAGCACGACATAACTGTAACGCTCAAAATAAGTGGATTTTCCATTTAGTTCAGATAATGATTTATTACCTCTGCATCTTAATTCTTTACAACTTGAAGCAAAAAAATGATACCTTTCCATCAAAATAAGATTCTCCTTGTCCTTCTTCCCCAGACCTACATATTCAAAGTAACCAAATTTTTAATTGAATTACAAAATGGTCCCTATGCTTTCTGATCTTTAACATGTTTACTCCAAAATTGAAACTTTTTTAATCTAAAATCAACATCTTAGGTACAAACTAAATGTAGTGTAAAAGTGCTTACTCTTTCTGTATCATCATGAATTAGAACAACAGTTTCTTGAACAAGTACCACATCAAGGGTTTTGTGATGCTTTTTAGGGCAAACAGTTAGAGTAATCAGTCTTGAATCAAAGTAAACCTTTTTAGGGTCAAGCAGATTAAACATTTCAAGAGCATAAAATAGTTATTCCTTTCTGTAAATGGATTAAAACCAAGAGCATAAAGTGCAACCCCTTCTGAATAGGGACTACCACCTCCACCACCTCCACCACCCGCCCCACTTTGTGGAAGGTAAGGTACCATTAGTGATCTTCCTTGCTGTAAATGGCATCCATGGATAACACCTAGTCCAACTGTCGCGCTGAACTTAGCCCAATTTGTCGCTCTGCTTAGCCAATCTTGAAATCGTATCCAAACATAAAACATTTACAAATTGCTCATAAATCTTGCTACAAATATAAGCAATGTACGTTCTATTTAAGGATTGCATTGTTGCTATTATGAGTAAAGATTTGTAAGTCAGTTACAAATATGTGTAAAGAAAATGTACATACATTACTATTATAGTAGTAAATGATGAAGTATGTAGATATGATATAGTGAAATTACCAGATTTAACCTCAAGAATGTATCCACTGTTGTTCCAGCATGCATAACCTTATCCTAAAAGACATATATGCGAAACGGCTATATAAGGATCTGAATAATATTATCAGAAATAAATTAACCATGAATACACCTGAAGCTTGTTAATGATAATTGGAATTACTTCTTCAGGTGCTTTCTTACAATCCTACAATGAGGAGTCCCTATATGCTTGGTGAAAGTTCAACATACAAAGCAAAAAGATAAATGAATTGCATGGGTTATAAGCATCTTATATAACAAAACACAAAAGGATGAAAAGCTGATCAAATAACCTTAAATGTTAGCATGGCTCCAGTGTAGAACCTCACTGCATCACCATATGCTTCAGATTTGATGCATTTTCGATATGCTTCAGATTTGATGATTTGATTCTTCTAGCACTCCCATCGGTGAACCTCCTTTCTCTGTATCCCCTTCCACACTTAATGTTTTAGGGAAAAAGATCAGATTTTTAATAGCGAGATCAAATCATAAATATTAAAATTTATTGTAATGAAAGTATGAAAGATGGTAAAAGCTATGTAAATTTAATACCTGTAGAAATAAGCCATTAGTTTTCTGCATTGATGTTAGCTTTGTGTATAGCAGAAAATCTTTTTCTACCATGAGCTTTCGCATAATGAAAAGCATATTCAGCCACTCTCAAACTTGCATGGCATGTTATGATTTTAAGACTTTCAACAACTCCCCTGACAACCTGTAGAAAGATCAAAATTTGCATATCATTGATTTGAATGTATCATGTATGATATGACTAATGAATCTATATAAAGATGATACAAACTTACTTGATGTTCAAGACCACTGTATTCTCCTTCCGTGTTTTCACGGATTGTGATGAGATTCACATCATCATATTGAGTTTTGTAACCAGGTAGACTGTAACATGGTCTGACATTTGCATATAGGTTTAGTTCTTTTCTTAAAGTGAGATTCAAGGAATGATGACCTTCTCCAATTGGTGTAGCCTTGGGATATTTTAATCCAACCTTGTTTCTTCTTACAGATTCTCTACTTTACCATGTGACAAAGCTTTGGGTTTTGGGATCTACTTCTGTCCCTACGTAATGTTCTTCCTATTCAATTGGGACTTCTGCAGCATTGAATATCTGCATAATGAGAAAAGCGAATTCAACATACATACATAATTTGATTAGCGATTACTATTCTAAATTGAATCTATACCAACTAAACAATAGAATGATTATACGAAATTCTTAAACCCCAAAATATGCAACAAAAACCTAAAAACAAAAGAAAACAACAACATAAGAATAACAAAACTGTGTTAAACAAACAAGGATCAGGTTTAGCAATATATTGAGTATAAAGAAGGCGGAATTGAACCTGTTTGACAGAGGTTGCGATCTCGGGACCAATACCATCGCCGGGAAGAGAGTGGTGCGAATGAGATCAGAGGAGCTAGACGAATAGCTCTGATCGGTCGGCGAGAAAAGCCTGTTGGTAGGGTTCCTGAAGGTGGTTGTGAATACCTCATCCACTGTGTGGATTCGGAGGAAACGTCTCGCAATCTGCAAAGCCATGGTTAACGACTTGTTGAAAGGAAACACCAAGTGAAACGCCAGTTCCAAAGAAATCGAAAAAAGTCAAAAGAAAAAATGCCAGTTCCAGAGAAGCGAAAGTTTGGAAGAAAATAAAACCCTAGCACGTGCTAGAGAGAAGGGAGGTGGCGACGGCTTAGGGTTTACAGGGAGATAGGAGGCAGAAAATGAAGGGAGATCTAGAGGAGAGAGTATCAGAGAGGAGAGTCGATTGCGAAGATGAAAGATAGATAAAATGTAGAAAGAACGAGGCAGTTTTTCCAAATTTTAGGGATTTCGTTTCCCCCCTTGTCTATTAAACGCGCGTTTCATTAAAATTATAAAGCGACAGGTTAAGGGCACGCAATAATGCGTGACGTTTTTAATTTTTTTTCTTGAGACACTAAATTAAGGGCACGCAATAATGCGTGACGTAAATCCTTAAAATTTTTGAAGAGATGACGCTATTTTAAGGACGCTCTCTTTTACGTAACATAAATCAGTACGTGTCGTAAATTGCGTGTCGTAAAAGGCCGTTTTTCTAGTAGCGAATACACGATACTAAACATGTTGCATCCCTCAAACTAAGCGAGGTTGTGTTTTTGTTTCATGATTTCACTAGAATAAAGGGGCCACAAATGAACTATAACGTATATAGGCTCAACTAAATATTTAGGTTCTCATAGAATCATGAAACACAATACTAGCATGGACTCCTAATTGCTTTACCAGAATTTTCTGAACTAATCCTAGCAATTTTTATGCAATTCTTTTTTAAAATTATACCTTGGATTCTAATATAACTAATGTAATCAACCCATATCCCACACTTAATTTATGTAATGTCCCCATTGCATGTTAAAAAAATTAAAGAACATAAAAGTAAAAAGTGATAATTGGAACTGACTCCCCTAGGATAGATGTGAAAGGAAATTGACTGAGCAACACTCCATCTTCAGCTGACTTTTGCATGGGAACAACTCATCCATGCCTTGGGTGTCAAATGTATTGTGTGGTACATCTCCTAATTTACTGGAAAAAGATTCATGGAATGCCTTGAAATTAGACTTCAAAAATATGCATAATGCCCGCCTCGAATGGAATCAAATCGAAGATTTGAAAGGAAATTGACTGAGCAACACGCCGAGTAGTAAGTGAAGAACTCGTCATGTTGGATCGTAACTCGGGTAGAAATCGTGTATTTCTTATGGAACTCGTCGAGTTGGGTTATGACCTCGACGAGTTGACGACTCTGATCGTGTAATTTCTTCTTTCTGCTTCAGTTTCGATTTTGTGGTCAAAGAGGGTATTAAGGTAATACACCTCTTTATATTATTCAGTAACATGACTCTTTTTTAAACACCGGACCTAAAGTATCACTCAAAGTCTTCTAATATTCTCGTTAACGATTCGATCCCTCACTTTAATTCCCTCACGCTTTAACTGTTTGTTCAATTCTCACCTTAACTTCTGCAAGATCAAAAACAAAAAACTACATAATAAAAAGTAAACACAACCATTAAATTAAAAGTTCCTAAATTATCCTACTCTAGAAATTTTAAGAGACAAACCAAAAATAAAATAAATAACACACAAAACAAATAAAAAATTGTCTCAAACACTTCAACATAAATAAAATGAAAAAGGATAATCAATCATCTTCTTCTTCTTCGGCTCCACTTCCTTCCGTACGTCCTTGTCTTCCTCGCCAATGGTCCTCCCAAATCGGAATATATGGATACGTAGGATGAGAATCGGGGCGTTTCATGTTCATTTGGCTCTTCATGAACTCCAAGATCGTATTGACGTGATTCACACCACTAGCCAAATTACTTTGAAATTGCCTCATGCTTAAGTTGTATGGATCCATTAGCATTTCGTCTTCAACAGGTATTACCGGTGGCTCCTCGTGTGCGGTTATAGGACGAAATCTTCTTCCCAGGTGCTCCGACACCTCTACCTCGTCATCATCGGTAATAGAAAATTTTCCTCCACCATTGTCTTCCATAATTCTATCCCTCTTGTAGAGAAAAGGACTAAATGATCTCTTATGCATCATGGTGAGAAAATTCCCGGACCCTCTCTCAAAAAATCCCGTATGACCTCGCCAATGTGGTTACGAACATTCCCCCACAAATCCGTGAAGCCTTCCTATCCTTTACTCCCCCATCCGCCAAATACTTTTCCAAGCAGTAAGGTATGTTGCAAAAGGTGTTGGGTATGATAATGATCCATAAGAAAAATAGATCAAGGTTTGGAACCTTGTCACCGTGCTTCCTCATGTTAATGGTGCATGCACTAAATCGGTGAAGGAGTCGGTGGACTGGTGACCAGATACTACCCTCTTGTGCCGCCGATGAAATATACTCACCACTGGCGATTGTAGTCCACCAATTTGCTACATTGACCCCATCTAGAAACCCTCTATGACAATGATCCAAAAATAAACCAAACACTTCACTTATCGCCTCCGATCTATTATACAAACCCATTCTACATGCCAATTCAGCAACACTGCACTCTCTATATTGTCCTCCCAGACATAAAGTGAAACTGTGAGTATCAAAACAATCATCACCGCCCCTAAATCGATTCGTGGCATAAAACTCAAGGCACATATCGTTGTAAACAGGTTCTTGAATCTGAAACAATCTTCTCCAAGCATTACACGTAACGCTCTCCGCATCATTCACAAACACTTTTGTTAAGTATGAGTTCATTGTTTCAACTAACCCAACTACCTCTAGCCATGTCCATTTCACTTCATTTGCGATATACAACTCCTTTCTTTTTAAATTCTCTTACTTGTTTCTCCATTCAGCCAATGTTCTTTGTGAAACAACTTGTGGAAAATTATACTTAAGGAAATCCTCTTGGTCTCTAGGAAGTTGCTGACCTCTACTACCTCTCCTCATTTTTTCTGCACAAAAAAAAACATAGGAGACAAACAAATACCAAAGGGAAGTTAAAATTAAAATTTTAAGCAAAAACTGTACACTCTGAACAAGCAACTCGTCTAGTTGTATGAACAACTCGACGAGCTCGATGAACATGTCGAGCAATCTATTCAGATTCAAACCGATATGACCAAACCAACTTAAAATCACTTCAGGGGTTTGTTTAGGATACTATAACATGCATTTAATCACAAGAAAAATCAGTTTAAAAAACCTAATTTTATAAAAATCGAAACCCCTAGAGTTTATGCCAAGTTTAAAAATCGGGTTTTTCAACTAAATCAAACACGAAACTCATAAAAATCTGAACTTTAACTTGTTGAATGGTTAAAAATCTTACCTTTCTTAGGGAAAATCGAGTAGAACCGTGTGGGGTAGAAAGGTTGTTGCACTTGAGAGAAAACTCGGCGAGCTTGGGTGCAGTTGGTAAAAAATGATCGAATTAGCTTTTTAGGGTTATAAACCCTCTTTCAGTGAGTTTAAAAAGTATATATTTTTGGTAATTAAAAGTGCAGCGTGCCGAGTTGGGGGAAGAACTCGCCATGTTGAGACAGGTTTTATTGTAAAAATCGCGAAATATCGCCTCAACTTGGTGAGTAGACAACTCTTTCTCGCCGAGTTGGGGGTTCAAAACAAAATTTTTTTATTTTTTTTCATAAAATTTTTTACCACATCCCACACTCAAACTTTGCTTGACCTGAAGCAACATTTAAAATATTTGAAGAATAAGACTAAAAATCCTTAACAAAACACGAATAGCTAAAGAAATAAAAGACGAAAATGAAAAGAAAGGAAAAGAAAAAGAAAACAAACTCAAACGATGGGTTGCCACCTGCAAGCACTTCTTTTTGAGGAGTCTTTAGCTGGACTCCTTCCTACTCTACGTTGTAGTGGCTTTCTTTAAATCCATGGCATTTTCAATCTTCTCTTCGCTTGGCATTCCTTCATCATGATGCTTAACCCTATGACCATTTACCTTGAAACTTGACCCATCCTTGTTCCATAACTCAATTACCCTATATGGAAACACATTCTAAATCTTAAAAGGCCCAGACCATCGAGTGCGTAATTTTCCCGAGAAAAGCTTTAGCCTTGAATTGTATAAGAGAACTTTCTGACCAGCTTCAAATTCCTTATTCCCTTTCAACCTTACATCATGCCACCTTTTTATCTTATCCTTATAAATCAACGAGTTGGTGTATGACTCGTTCCTCAATTACTCTAAGGCATTCATTTGCAAGAGTCCATTGGCACACAACTCACTTGGTTCAAAATTACATGTCTTCAAGGCCCAATAAGCTTTATGCTCGAGTTCCACTGGTAGATGATAGTGCTTCTCATAAACTAATCTATAGGGTGTGGTCCCAATGGTGTCTAGAATGTATTCTGGAAATCCCAAAGCACGTCATCGAGTGTATCCGCCCAGTATTTTCCATAACTACCCACCGATCTTTCCAAGATTCTTTTTAGCACCGTATTCGTGATCTCAGTTTGCCCATTTGTTTGTGGATGGTATGGTGTTTCAAACCTATGGTGTACACCATATTTTTGTAACACCCTTTCTAGTTGATCATAAGAAAAATGGGATCCCCTGTGAATGATAAGTGCTTTTAGCACTCCAAACCTAGAAAATAACCTTTTCAAAAATTTCACAACCATTCGTGCATCATTGGTGGGTAATGCCTGCACTTCTGCCTACTTGGATACATAGTCAACTGCCACAAGGATGTATTTATGCCCTCTAGATGATAGGAATGGTCACATAAAATCTACACCCCACACATCAAACACCTCACATACTTAGATGTTTTCGCACTCTCTCACATAGGTAGCAACATCCTTGAAGATCGTGGGCCAATAGAAACCCACATCGAACACCTTCTTGGTCACATATTGAGTGCTATGATGCCCTCCTGCCTGCCCATTATGACAATCGTCTAGAATATCATGGATCCCTTTTCCAAACACGCATCTTCTGATTATCCCATCTACACAACTTATAAAAAGATAGGGCTCATCCTAGAAATAATATTTAATTTCTGAAAA